GAAATAACCCTTTAAAGTAAAATTCCCTGGTGATGATTGGAGGGAAGATCCTTGCTGATAACCGACTGTCTACATGTTCTTCCATAATGTATTGAGCCTCTGTTTGCCTCAAATGCAAAGTTTAGATAACTTACAGGACACAAAGCTTCTTTGCATCAGAGACAGAGTATTTCTCGATATAATGAGAAATTCCTAGGCTGGATGTTCATCATATCTACTCCCACCTGCTTAGTTAAAAACAAACATACAAGGTTTCTCATTTTCTGATGCATGCTTTTACTTGGACTTACATTAGACATGTTTGCAGCTAAAAAATGGATTTGAAGTTTCCCCCCCCACTACACAAGTAGCCAGTACATGTATGAGAATGGAGTGAAGGTCCTGGCATAGAGGGTATGTGGTAACTCTCTTAGAAAACACAGCAGGATTTTTGGGTTTAGATCAGCAATGATGTGTAGCAAACACACCAACCCCACAGTTGATAGGCATTTGAATGAAGACACAGCAGCAGTCCTGCAGGCATAGTTGAGGAGAATAACCTATATATTTAGAGGTAACAAAGAGGTTATCTGTATGTTTCCAAACAAAGGTTCCCGGGTTTTGTAAGTAACCCAAGCTCCTGGCCAAAAAGCAGAAGTGAGAGTTTCTATTTTAAAAAAGGAGGGGAAAACCAACCTCAACAGAAAGATTTGAGCAATATGCAGGAAGGGCTGGTGTTCAGGCAGCAGAGAAAGTACTAATGGGCTTTGCAGACTCTGGCAGACACTGCAATGGGTGTTATTTAGGAGATATGCTAGTTCCAGTCAATGTATGTATGACAGAGGGTGGGCCACTTTTACTCATGGCCTTTACCTTGCTCTCTTCACAAGCGGTCTGAACACTTCAGCCACCTTTTGCTCACATGGCTTGGGAGTGCTCAGCCTTCAGCTGCGTGGGCTCTGCTACTCAACAGTTTACTGTAACTTCTGCTAGAATGGAGAAGGAAAGGAAAGACCCATTTTCACAGCCCTGCATACATGAATGCTCACTTCAAGTTGGGCAGGATGTGGGATAAAGAACTGTCTAAACACCCATCTTTGCGTGAACACAAAAGCAGTTTCAGATGAGAATTAGTTATGTGCCTGATCATGTGTATGTAGTGTTTGCACAAGCTTGGACCCAAACAATCTTGCACACAAGTAAATGCAGAAGGTAGCCAAAGTGATGTCCTTTGGGATGGAAATGGTTTTGAAAAGGGATAAAGCTCTGCCCAAGCCACAGATGCAGAAACTGTTGTGGTTTAAGCCCAGCCAGCAACCCAGAAACCATGCAGCCATTCGCTCACTCCCCCTCCCTTCCTTTCCCTGCTCCCAGAGAGATGGGGAGGAGAATCGAAAGAATGTAACTCCCACGGGTAGAGATAAGAGCAGTCCTAAGTAACTAAGGTATAACACAAACCACTGCTGCTACCACCAGTAGTAATAATAATGATAAGGGAAATAACAAAGGAAGAGAATACAACTGCTCACCACCCACTGACCGATACCCAGCCCGACCCGAGCAGTGATCTAGCCCTTCCCTACTGTGAGGTAATGCCAAAGATGCATGGAGCCTCTGGAATCAGTAGGGATTACTAGTTCCTATTTTGGCAAGAGGATGAACAGCAACCAACAGCCCCTCTGCCTGCCCTTACCTTTAAGGTATTTAGGCAGAGAATTTCTGCTGTATTCTAGGGGGAAAAAGAACCCAAACCCAAAACCAAACAAAAAAAACCCCTAGTCTTATTGTCCCATATTAAAAATAAAGTATTTCTGTAGGCAAAACTCCAGCACTCTTGAAGAAAAAAAAACTTTTTTATTTGAGGAAGAAAAATAGAATGGTAAAACCAGGAAAAATTATGAAAATTAGAAGTGCCCTACTGTAGTGTAGTAGAAAGCTTGGCAATAGCATACAGGCAGCATTCATGAAAGATTCCTATTTTACATTTTGAATGTAGCTTCTGCAGAAATCATGTATCTTAAGCCATAAATTTGTGGTTTAAGTTAGAAGAAGTGATTATCTGATGTTTTTATTCAGTAGACCGATGGATGTTGGACACAGTGAGCGTTAGCATCACCACCCAATTTATTCTCTCTCTTTTAATCAAAGTACTTTTTTGTCAGTCATCCCTGACTCAGGATTATTTCTGTACCTGGACTGCTATTGAGATTTTTAGGTAGCTTAAGAGCCTGATTGCCAATGCAGGAAATAACGAAAGTATGAAAGATCATTACTGTTTCAAATGACTGTGACCTACCTAATTCTGCTGAAATTAAGATTCTTAGGTATCAGAATTTAATGTTTAACTATCTGTTTCCGTCAGCTATGAAAGAATAGAATAAACCAGCAGCTTTTTTTTTTTAACAGTTGGAAAATCCGGATGGATTTTTCTATCCATTATGGAGGGAATCCATTATGCAGTCTTTCCCACAGAGTTTTGATCATTGAAAGTGAAAGTTTAACACAACAGAGACATTTTCTTTTCCATTCAGATGCCACCTTACAGCCTTTGAGGACTGTAAGATTTGCAAGCAGTTTTGCTTCATTTTGGGAAGTGATAGCAGAGCTACTTACCATGGGTCTGATAAGTAAGAGAGCACTTACTTTGCTAGGATGCAAATGACTGGATTAATGAAGCTTGTAGGAGATTTCCTAGGCATGAGAAAGGCAATGGGAAGGAGACATCAAATAAGCATCTTCTGAGACTTCTGGCAGCATTAATAAATTCTTAGAGGAGTGCTTTCATGAATTATAGAAAGACAAGTTATTATTGGTGAAGTCAAGAAACAAAGAAATGCTACATCATCCTACAATGTGAAACAATGATTCTGCTCAGAGGTGTCTTTATAAGACCTGTGCATTAGTCAGTGGATGTAATCCATGTTCAGAGGCTTTTACTAGCTCACATTAGTGAGAGAAATTACTTGCATGACTTTTTATTCCTAGCACTGATGCAATATCTACCGTGTGGAGACAAAGTGCCATCCTCTTTACATTTATGCTTCCCCAAAGGTTTTGATTAGCAGCCTGCAGTTGTGTAACCACATGTAGGCCAAGCATCACAGATAACCCAAAGGCGTAACAACCAGCAGGGTACAGAGAAGGCTACTGAGGCCCTCATGTGCTCTGCAAAGTTTTATTGTGTCATATTTGAAAGAAGGAGTGGAGCCCAGGCACAGCTTTGTTTGTACACAGAAGTTAATGTGTACGTATAATGTAATTTTTGTTTATGAAAAAAAGTTACTTGATTTTAAGTTGGCATGCACACCAAACACAGCTTGAAAGAGTAAGTATGAAACTTATAAGAGGATTACAGAGAGTAGTATTCAACAAGTAAAAAAGATGAACTCCTTTAAAAGTGTAACCACACATTTTCATTATGTCTAAAATAAAATGCATAGGACCTCTTAAGAGCATAACAGAAAATGAAACTTGGAGTCAAGCTTACGTCATGTTAGACATTTGAGTAGCTCTCAGACAACCATAAGACAGCAGAAGAACCTGTTATGAATTGCTCATTATACTTGCTGTTAGCCAGAATAAAACAAATCCTGAAGGCTTTTGTTTTGTTAGCAAATTGTTGTACAGAGATGCATGGACCAATATTTAGCCCCCTGGTTGATAACTGGCTAGGACCAATTTACTATTTTCAATGTGAAATGGAGTCAGACTAGGTGGGAGGGCAGGAGGGAGCAGCCTGCATATACAGGGCACGAAGGTCACTGGAAATTGTTGAACCGTGATGTTGTATATTTATATGTGTGCTGCGTGCAACACGTGAGCCTTCCTGCAACTGCAGGGAACAGTCAGAACTGTTTTACGGTGTAGTCTGTGGGTTTAGTTTAAAGCAACAGCATTTTTTGAGTTAAATGGAGGCAGGACTATGTTGTGGTCATGACTAAGCCACAGCATGCAAAGTTCAGTTCCCTCTTCTTGACTCCAAGCAAGTAATTTGATTTCTTGAAAGCCAGAAAGAACCATGCTTCCTTTGATAAAACATGAGATACAACCCTGCCAGGTGATCATTGCATTCATACCACCAAGTTCTCCTTAAAGGCTACTGCCATTAAGATCTGCAGACAAAGGTGTCTCAGCCTACAAGCCAGTTCCTTTACAGCTCACAAACTCTCAGATTCTGCCTCCCATCATGGTTCTCCTATTTATATAGTCCAGGCACTGGGACCAGTGGCTTCTAGGCTACATCTGAGCCAGGAGTATCTGTGGTCTTTTAAAAAAGTTGAGGTCTCTGTCCCAGTCAAGTCTATAAAATGCAAGTATCAACAAGCAGTCCCCATAGATGTCAAAGGATCCATCATCTATGTAAGAGTAAACTTGCTGCTTAGGTCTTTGCAAGATAGATGAATTACAGCATAGAGGTTTTTAGCTTGGGGTTTTAAATGACCTATCTAATTTCTGAGGAGAAGCTGGAAGTGCAGCCTGAATTTGAGCCTCCTTTGGACTTCTATCAAAGGGTCCATCTGTGATGAACCTGGTCCAAATTATCTGAAAAGGTTAACATCCAAGATCAAGAACAGAGCTCCAAAGACAAAAGGAGGGTTTCGTTTGATATTCTCTGGCAGCCTTCTGCCTAGTGACTGGAGAACACGAACAAAAATCTGTACTTAACTAGAGTGATTTTCCATGTCATCTCCCCACGACAAGTGCCTAGCTTGCTTTGCCAAAAGCCAATACCCGGAGCTCACACAACAGCTATCTACAAGCACAGCATCACTGACCAGATTCTTTATCCTAAACTAAACTCATTATTTCTCCTTATCTGCAGATGTCTAATCTACAGTGTATGGAGGCCTAAAGTCCTCTGAGCATTGCTGCTATGCTGCTGCACAATGGCAGGCAGGAGAGGAGAAGAACAACCTGCCCCAGATCCTGCCAGGCTCACTGTTACGCTCTTGCTAAAGCCACCATGTTCCTGTCAAGGAAGCAACCGCGGTTATTCTCAGTGTAACAGGCTGCACCATCACTTAAATAAAAGTAAAATTTATTTGGCATAGGACAGAAAAATAAGAACAAAATCACGTATAAAATAAATGTTAAGCAAAAAAAATATTCACAGAACTAGACTGATATTTTATAAAAAGCTCAAACTTTAAGCATCTGATAAAAACATGTTACTTTCTGCTCAGCCTATGTTTTAAGTTACGTTTTTCAATCTTTCATGATCTTGTGTGGCTTTGGAAGTCCAAATTAAGAGGCCTTCCTTTGCATGCCATTAGTTTACCTTAAAGTGTATGTACCACAAACGAAGTGTATTTCAGAATGGCAACATACTGAAGGGTTACTCCCTTTTTTAAGACATGCGGTTTCTTTTTCTTTGAGTCTGCCTACTCACCTGCTGCATACTCACTCAAGTGAGCACATAATACATGCGCCCTGCTTCTGCTGAGTAATTCCAGCACTCCCATTTTTGCCAGTGCTCCAGGTTTACCTTTTAACAGAATGGTCCAGCCATTTCCACCTCTCAGGCTTGTTTTCTCCCAATGTACATGAAGAAGCATTCCATGAACTAACTACACTTAACATGCTACTGGCTACCTTAGGTAAGAGATTCCCGTTGTTTCCTGGTGAATACCATTTGAAAGATTAAAGTTCATACAATATTTTATAGAGAGTCCATGTACCGCCAAACAGGTTGTTTGCACCTGACTGAGACACAATGATGTTCACGCTATTGCGATGTGGTATTACATAGATGCAACATTTTATATCATAATTTGTACTCTGGTATCGATAGTGACATTCAGACATTCAATTGGTTTCCATCTCCTTGAGCAATCTGCTCCTTTCCAGCATCCTGTGGCTGAGGGGCCCTATGTAGGTCTCTTGACATTTGACATTCTGCTTGAAAAAATGCCAGTTTGATCCTTCAACTATATTCTTTAATTCCAAGGCAAAAAGAACCCTTTCTATTTCCATACTTCTGCACAGCGAATTGTTGTATTACAATGTATGTGAAGCATGATAGCAGTTTAGTTCCTTCATTCTCTGCTCCAAGAGAAACCCACTTCTACAAGTGACATATATAAAGAATTATTTCTGCAAGGAGAAACTGCCATTTTTTTTAGTGACAATTTAAAGAACTTCTTCAACAGTTTAGTCTTGCAGATTCTTTCAGTGTTGGGAAATGCTGGTTCCTAAACATGAACTTTGCAACCTTATTTAAGAAGTAGTTAATTTACAGAAATACATATTTCCTGAATCACTAGCTGAGTTTCCTTTAACAACTTTGAACATTAATCGCTGTGACCTCTTCTGTCACTGGCTGGTGCAGAAAGTTGTTACCAATATAAGGTGTGCTTTTCTTCCAAATATACTGAGCAGAAATTATCGTCACATGGTACAAAAGTAACTCCCGTTTCATTTACTGACTTGAATTAAACAAAAATGAACATCTGTGGCCGTTTTCACACATTGTGAGCTTAGTGATGACGTAAAAAGATAGTTTGAGGCGTGAGGGTTTATAATACAGTGTCATTGAAACAAACCCAGTAAATTTTCTATGTAAGCAGCGAATCAAATTTTGTCCTCTAACAACACTGAAGTCAGCTGGGCTCTATGGATATCAGTGTGAGACACCGATTTTGGGAAAGGGTTAAATTTCCAGAGCAATACCAACAATTGATGGTGGGGCTAACCATTGCCCACCTACACCTCACCTACAGACAAATCCAATAGTCTGTCCATACACTGAGCCCAATCTGAAGTTATCAGACTGAGCAGAACAGAACAGAAGGACTACAGAAGAACTTGGCTCAAACACTGCATAATGCTACTGTTGGCACTATTTACATTAGGACTTGGAAGAGCATCACCTATTGATTTTGCTAGTGAGACACGGAAAAGTTGACTTAAAAAGTCATAAGGCACCATTAACTCAGTCTGTTTTGTATTCTTTTTTAACACTTCATAGTGAAATAAATACTTTAATACTGATCATATTGTAAATAGCTACTGATACATGAAGCAATATATTGAATGATAAAATGCTGCACTGTTCTGGAATATACCTAGGGACTTTTATAGCAAAAGATATAAATAGTAAAGTTGTTGTTCAGTGAAAAAAATCCTCTTTCTCCATTGTTAAGCTATTTTACATATATGCCAAACATCTATTCTGAAGAGCTTTCTATAGTACAAAGAAGTGCTAAACCCAAGCAGCTCAGCTTTTGTGGCTGGTTGACTGAGGGCCTTTTACAAAGCACATTTTAAGGTGAGACTGAAGTTGGTTTGCCAAGTCTTTGGTAGTGGTCCAGAATTTCTGGTCAGAAAACCTTACTCAAAAGAGCAAATACAGAATATTTTGAATGATGCAGAGAATTGGCAGAACAATGTGCAGCATTTTCATTGACTTACTCAAAGTAAAACAGTCATGCTGGAAGCAAGTAAGTGATAAAAAAAGTATAGTTTCTGGAGGGTTTGGGTTTTGGTTCTTTTTTTTTGGCTGTATAGCTATTTGGATATTAATAAGGATTTGGCAGGTCAAGGTACTGAAAATATTGTACTCTTAAATTCAGAATGTTGTTCCTTAGAAACTTATAAGTGCTTCAGTTTAAAAGCATGAATACAATAATTTATCCTTTAAGTTATTATGCTAAAAATCTTATTTGGACTTCTATTCCCATAATAATATCCCAAAGAGACAGGCACTTTAAGTGACACCCATAAAATACATATAGAAATTCAGTATTGTGCTAGGTTTGATCCCTGGTGCACCTGTCACATGGAGGTCCCACTAATATCTGTTTTAAGAAACTCTTACAGCCACGAGCCTGCAATTAGGTGTAGTTACATCCCTGCGCCTGCGCATTTAATTGCGGGTTCAAGACCATAAATAGTAACTTAAAATAGGTCTTTAGATATAAAAATGTAAAAACCAGGTACATAATCAAATGCTATCACAGCTAATAAGATTTTGTAAACAAACACTGAAAAGGCCAAATTAAATTTGATCTGGCCAAATACAACTCTGTCTCATCCTCTTCATTGTGACCGTCCAGGCTGTCAGGCAGAAAGAGGATCTATCCCTCCATGCCCACTGACAGAGCAAGAAGTCCAATGCACTAACACTTCAGTGGGGTCCAGACCCTTCTCCTCTATATTCCCTAGATTTTGAAGGACTGAACTCATTCTAGCTGTAGAGTGTACTTAGGATCATGCCTCCCATGCTACAGAAACATTTTCTTAACCAACATGACTATTCCTTGAGCAACACCCTGTGAAGCATGGCTGCTGATACAGGCTTGGGAGGGATCCCAAAGAGTATGCTGAAGACACAAACTGCTGAGAAGACAGAAGAGATTTTCAGAGCTAACCTTCTAAAGTCCAATTAACAAAGAGCTAGCATTCAGCAATATTTCAAATCCAGAATTATAATCTTCCCCTAATTTCCAAAGGCATTTTATATGCATTTAGATACTTTTGAAAATGCACTCACACGATGAACTTTTTTCTCATATACAACATTGAAAAGCCATTAAACATATTAACCAATTGTCACAATGTTAGAATACTTTACACTCTCTTCTATTAATGAAAGCCTTGAAGCTCTCTGCAGAGACTCCTTTCAGCAAAGTTTGAAAGGACAGGCTTCATTATCAACTCAGAAGGCCAAATCTTCCCATTTCTCCTGAACCAGTGCAGACAGCAAATTTCGGAGCTGATGCTCCCACTTGAACCCACAAACCCCAGACCTCCTTCACTACATCAAAGGGCTTTCACTTACGCACATTTTTGACCTAAGCTGCTCTACTGTAATGCCATTCAAATACAATCTCTCTGAGACTTGTGACCTAAGCCCCAGGAAGCTTTTAAAGTCAAAAGCCATAATTTAATTGTACCAAAGAAACAACTGGAAAGCAGTCTGTGGAGCACTGGTGGTAGCAATGCTTTACAGCAGGAGCCTGCCGCTACACTAATTGCTGCATTTGTACCAAGGCTACTTTCTGAGGACTCTTTGCATGTAGTCTCAGATAGAGGGCATGACAATAATCCAGAACATGGATGGCTGTGAGCTGGTCCACCTCAGAGTAGGAAAGAATCAGGTGACTAAAAACATAACACTATTAAAAAAAAAAATGAAAGAAGGATTAAAAAAAAAAACCTCAAAAAGTGAGTTTTTCACTTCTGCTTTTCTTTGGACGATTATCCACAGATAAAAACAAGGCCAGACACACTCCACCTTTGGGGCAGGATGTGCCATCTATTGTTTAAAATAAGATGTGCTTGGTTAAGATGAAGTGAAAAGGTTTAGGATGAACTCCTGGTCACCATGTAGTAAGTCTATGGCTTGCAGAAGCAGACAGGCTGAGTTAGGCATGCAAAGAAGAATCCAGGTGCCTCTGGGCAACACTGTTTTCCCCAGAAACTGGTTTTTAAACAGAAAATAGATTGTACTTTATCATTCAAATATTACAGCCACTGTACCCAAAGTGAATGAAACAGCTTTGTTCCAGTTCTCATTAAATCCAAAGCCAGACCTCTCGTGAAGCTCTCATGGGGACAGAGCTGGACACAGTAAGCTTGATGCACGTATGTTGTGTGTGGTCCACAAAATGCCTTTCATGACAGCCTGCAGTACAAGTAGATAAAATTTATAGCTTTGAGCAACTATAGTTCATGAGCGGCATCTATTACTTCTGTAATAGAGACTGAAGTTGTTTTCCAACTGACAAGCCAAAAGTGGAAATGAAGCAAAACAGACAACTTTCCAATGATGTGGATAGGAGAGCTAGTTGAAGGAAACTTGAAAACAGACGTCACCCAAAGATGAGCCAGAACCCATTTCACCTTGGTATAGGTGGAAGCGGGGGGGCACCTCTTTCTTTTCGGCCAGAACCACCTAGAAGAGAAAGAAAGTTTTTGGTGTTACTCCTCCTGGTTTCTTTTAAAGTAGGAGTTTACATCCAAGCCATTAATTCAGTAACTGGCAAAGATCTTGCCTAGCCATTTTACTAAAAAAAGCTTTTTAGAGTTTCCAGTTAATTTATTAAACAACATCAGAACTTCAAACAGCGTAAAAGAAGGTTTTTAACTAACCTTATCCCAAAATGTCTGAAAAGTATATGTGTTTTAGTCTCTTGTCCCCTACTCAAAACAGATCGATAGCTCTTGATAGCCTTCCTACTTTATGCAAACACATACTGTATTAGTGCTACTTGCAAGACATTCAGATTTTGATTAAAGTGGCAAGCTCTAAATGCAGGAACATTTCAAAACTCTTAATGTTTTTCCCTATATGAAGATTTTCACTGCAAACTCATGAAATAAAACATTAAAAAGCATATATTACTTTGCATTTCTTTGTGGAGTAATGCGAATGGGATGAAAGCTAACAGGGCAAAGTGAAGGATCAGAGACTAACAGGAATTTCTGCTCCAAACCAAAACCTCATCATTTGGAAACAGGAGAGAGAGAGAAACATCTGAGTGTACAGATGATTACAGGGTAATTACAAGCCACCGATGTCACTGGTTGTGAAAGAAGGAAATTGATCCTTGGGTGTATCAGGCAAAATACCAGTAATGAAGATAGGAAACATTTATGCTGCAGTAGAGACATGAATGGGAACAGCATGTAACACTGACTGTAAAAGACGAAATCAAACTGAAATGTATACAGAAGGAACCTTGATGATCAGACAACATAGCTTGGAAGCACAGTGTAATACATCCTGATTTAATCAGTCCAGCAAAACAAAAGCTGAGAGGAGGATATGACTGTCATCTGCCTGTAGAAGAAAGAGCTGACTATAATGGCAGAGGTGGTCTCTTACAATACATATTCCAACTAAACCCCCCCAAAATTCTCCCCTCAGATACAAGTTTGAGAGGGCTTGCAGCTGCAAACATGCATTTAGCTTCTTCTTTGTGGTGGGGAAGCGTGACTAGGCTGTTAGTCTGAGAAGTTTTGAAACCTCAGCATCCAGAGTCTTCCCTGTCCACATTGTTTTCAGGATGATACACTGAAATGCCAACAGCAGAGGTGGAATAAACTTACCTCTACTTTCATTTCTTGCTAGTTTACTGGGATAACTTCTGTTCATGGGTACATATGGCTCTGGAGGTGGCAAATCAGATATGGGATGAAAAGAAAATCTGCTTTCCCATTCATCTGCAAAAAAAAAAAAACAAACAAGGAATTTACTCATTAGTTTTATGACACAGCTTCAGGATAGTAAACTGACATTAACATCATGTTTGACACATATTTTATGTTGCACAATGCTTACATAGCCAAGTATTGAACCAGCATCCTACTGGGAAGTCAAGGAAGAAGATACTTCAGGTTAGTTTGAGAATGAAATACTTTGTTCTTAGATACAGAATTTTCTGATATTCAAACTTCATTGATATACAGAGAAAATTTGAGGCCATTATGATAAAATTTATGATGACAGAGAAGCCTGTATATAACTAGTGTCAAAAATGAAAAAATACATCAGTTGAAACATCTTTTGAGACTACAGAGACCCTACTGATGTACTTAGTGAGTCTATAGGATTCTAAAGAATGAAGCAAGCTGATCAGTTTTTTCACTGAAATAACAGGAAATGTTTATAAAGCTCTGTTCTGCATTTGAATTTGGAGGCCCAAGGAAGAAGAAAGTGTGGGCTATCTTAAACTTTGTAATTACTTCACTTGGTTGCTTCAGGACTTTGCAACCACGCTTTTGTTGCAATATTGTTATGTTTTATTGCATAATGTAATGAACAGCTGACTAAGTTTTGCCCAGCAGTTCTACATGCTGTGATAGAGGTTTTCTATGCTTCCTCCCAAAGGCTACAAGTAGAATCCAGTGTGCAAAGGACCTGCAGGTTCTGAACCCTGCAAATATCTTGTGTATGATAAAATGTGTCTGTGACCCACCTGCCTTACTGGAGGTGTGAAGCTGCTTCAAAAGCATGAGTTCATCAAATCATAGAATCGTTAGGGTTGGAAAGGACCTTAAGATCATCTAGTTCCTATCCCCCTGCCATGGGCAGGACATGTCCCACTAAACCATGTCACCCAACACTCTGTCCAACCTGGCCTTGAACACCGCCACAGATGGAGCATCCACAACTTCCCTGGGCAACCCATTCCAGTGCCTCACCACCCTAACAGGAAAGAACTTCCTCCTTATATCAAATCTAAACTTCCCTTGTTTAAGTTTGAACCTGCTACCTCTTGTCCTATTACTACAGCACCTAAAGAATAGTTCCTCTCCAGCATCCTTATAGGCCCCCTTCAGATACTGGAAGGCTGCTATGAGGTCTCCACACAGCCTTCTCTTCCCCAGGCTGAACAGCCCCAACTTTCTCAGCCTATCTTCATACAGGAGGTGCTCCAGTCCCCTGATCATCCTCGTGGCCCTCCTCTGGACTTGTTCCAACAGTTCCATGTCCTTTTTATGTTGAGGACACCAGAACTGCACACAATACTCCAAGTGGGGTCTCACGAGAGCAGAGTAGAGGGGCAGGATCACCTCCTTTGACCTGCTGGTCACGCTCCTTTTGATGCAGCCCAGGATACGGTTGGCTTTCTGGGCTGCAAGCGCACACTGAAGCCGGCTCTTGTTCATTTTCTCATCAACCAACACCCCCAAGTCCTTCTCCACAGGGCTGCTCTGAAACTCTTCTCTGCCCAGCCTGTAGCTCTGCCTGGGATTGCTCTGACCCAGGTGCAGGACCTTACAGCAGTATTTTTGCTTACTTTTTCTAACCTTCTAAATGCCAGAAATACCAATTTTGGTCTCCTATAATTAGCTGATAGATTTACCTGCTCTTTACAAATAGAAAACAATTAAAAATAAAAGGATGATGAATCTTTAAAACACAGCAACCTCACCTTTTCAACAAACACTAGCACTAACATTTTCAGCAGGATTCTGGCAATCTCTTCCTTCCTCTGTTTCTTAGATTTCAAGTCATCATTAACCTGTTCTGACTTCCAAAGAATCTTAATGTAGCTATCATTTGAATTCATATTAAGAGAACAATCCCACCTTAGGCTGTATTTCTGCACTGTAGCAAAGCAAAGCATTGTCAATACGTTTCTTTTTTTCAGGTTGTTTTTCAAAGGGTTATTTTGGTGACTGTACTGATGACTTTGCAATTCTGCTCTATGTATGGCGTATTTATCCTGGTCTTATTTGGCAGAGTCAACTGAGACCCTACTGACACCCCGATGGTCAGAAATCAAAGGTCTGCACTAGAAACACAGCCTCTATCCCAAACCCTTTTTGAAGGCCGAAAGGCTACACGGTCTCTATCAGAGGCAAACAGGTGTGTGCATGGCTTACCATCGCCAGGATCCTGGAAGCCGTTTCTGACAGCTGCTGAAGGTGGCGGTGGTGGCGGCGGCGCTGCTGAGCCCGGCCGGTCGGGAGGAAGCGGCGGTCGTGGTCCACCTCTCTGGTTGTCCAGCCCTGCCCGGGAGGGCAGCTGCGGAGTAGCGGGCAGAGCCCGTGAAGCGCTTCCATTCCTGCTTATGGGAGGAGGTGGTGGGAGTGGGCCTGGAGAAAGACAAGAGGCAAGCACACAAATGATGTTTGTACCAGGGGTTATTCTGCCAGTGGTAGGCCACTGCCTGCATCCCACAGTCCCACTATCAAGCCAGAGAGGGTGGGCTGCCTTAGGACCCTGGCAGGGAGTCACCCTCAGCACCCACTTCTCTGCTCTCCAGGGCTCTCTATGGAGTTAGTGCTGATTTGAAGAGAGGAGAGCAGGGTATACCTAAGCATAAATACACCTCAGTGACCATATTCCCATTTCCCTTAGCTACAGAAACCTCTGCAGATGTACTGTTCCTTGAAGCCACTTTTAAACCACCATAAATTACATAGGCCACAATGAGCGTTAAGTTACAGCTGTAATTCAGGGTACTGTGAAGGTCCAAACTTGGCCCATTTCCTTTCCATGTACCATAGCAAGGCAAGAGGACATGTAAAAGAAGAGCTCTGCTACCCTCATAGGCTCTTTGCCCATAGGGGTGGTCATCCCTAGGTGTCACAGCCAGGACCTGCAGTGGCACACAGGGGAATCCAGCCCAGGAATGGCAGCGCTAAGCAGCATGGCATCAGCTCACTCGTTTGTAAACAAACATATGTGCTGTATGCCAAGTTTTTAGTAGTTGGAGAACATCCACCTCCCGCTAAACTGGAAACAGACCTCACACGTAGACTGGCATTCCCAGTGTTTGTGTGTCTGAGTAACTGGCATGGTAACATGACAGGTCAAATACAAAGGCACTGCCCACGTAAGGCAGGAACAGGGCTGTCCTGAAGGCAGAGGAAGGGTGCTTCTCCAAGGAGCCAGTAAATGTAGGCAAGAAAGCTGCTGCTGCCAGGGAGAGAGTTAGGACACAAGGAGATGAAACAGAGGGTGTGGAGGGCTATGTGTGTTCAAAGGGCTCACTACCTGTGTTTGGCAGAGTTGGGCAACTGACAATTATGTCCATTTTTATGAAATGCTTCCTTGTCCTGATGAAATCTAGCTACAGACATGCATTTTGAAAAAAGAGAGCAGCAGATACTGTGTCTCAAGCGACACACATTGAAGCATGCTTCAAGAAACTGGCTATACCTTGTGGGTTTGGTTCCCCCCCCTCCCGTTTTTCCTTCTTTTTTCACACATTACTAAAATTTGCCTTCAGGGAATGGTTTCTAAGAGAGAGAAGCACTTAGCAACTTTCAGAATAGTTTTGCTTGCTCTCTCTAAACCTACCTAAACCCCATCATCTACATTCAACCGCTGCAGGAGTATTTACATTTATAATTTATTGCTACAACTTCCTTCTACTTATTAAGCCAGCAGAGAGGTGGTGCAAATTTGCTAAAACCATCTGCCTCAGAAAAGAGCCAACCAGGAAAGCACCAGTGGAAGCAGGGGAAGCAGCTCTTGGAAGTGTCTGATTAATTACAGACACTCTCTACAACTTTCATCCATGCTCCCAGTCAAACGTGACAAGATTTCTCTGCTTTATTTACTGCAGGCTGTGCTGGCATTGTGCCATCCTTTGGGGTGGCAACCAGCTCCACAAAGCATGGTCTTGGGGCCATGTAACTGCATGGCTGCTGTAGGTGCTGTGCTATAAGGGACCAGCACTGGTTCAAGCAGCTGGAAAACAACACTGATGGCTGTCACCTGTGGGAACTCCCATGAGATTTAGCTCTATTCTCTGTGAGGGCAGGTTTGAGATGATTCCACATTTTTATTTCCAAAGGATGAAATGAAAGGCAGCTCTATGGAGCTTCCCAGTATGGCCTTCTGCGCAATGCTTCTTCCTTCCTGATGTTACAGGGCCTGGCTGCTTGTGCCTAAATTCTCTCACCTCCAACAGGAGAACTATCAGGAATTAAGAGAGCTAAGTTATGATGTGCAGTTCTTAAACGCTAGGAACAACAGCTGTCACAGAGGACAAGGTACGTTAAGAAATAACCCAGAAGAGACAATTCTTGGTCTCATTTGAAATCTGCACATGGTACGTAACAAGTTAGTCATCCTGCAACAGCTGCCATTCCATTTAGCAACTAGGCCTTTTATTAAAATAATTTGTATTTGGCTGTAAGCGTTTGTGTCTGCCAACACGCAGAAGGTCAGGTTCTGCAAACCTCCATTCACGAGAATGGTATTAACTCACACTAGTTGACTCAGGAAGACGAATGCTGTCACCTATCAGAAGCTAGATAAAACAGCCTCTTTGCATCAAAGAACCTAATGGGGAAATCCCCTGTTTGCAACCCTTTTTTAATTACAGTAATTATAATGAAAGTTGCTGCGATGTGCAAAGGCACACGTGAGCAGGCTGGTGATGCACAGTGACTATCTTTAAGTCACCGTGATGCCCATAAACCCTCATTTCCAACTGCAGGATCCCTTGCGCCTAGCAGCACTTTGTGTTTCCCCTGCAAAGCAGGTGCGTGCACGGCAGCAGCTCACGGGGGAAGGCGCTGCCGCACGCCGCATCGCTCTTCTCCAGCACTTCTGTGAATCGTATGTGGCGAATAAGCGACGCCCTAGCCGAAGCTAAGCGATGCTGCTCCTGGGTCACAGAGGGTGAAGCACCTGCAGGGCTGCAGCGGGGCTGAAGAATTTGGGTTACGCTCCAAGGGGCCTCGCCAATGCTGGGCAAACCGAGACCTTTCCCCTTCCATAAAGCATCATCACTTCATCTCTCCGCTCCCACCCCGCCAAGCCCGGAACCCTCAGCGGCCCTACCTGATCGGCTGGGGGGGTCTCTCACGGGCGGCGGGGGCCTCTCGCTGGGCGGAAGGGGCAGGGGTCCGGAGCGGCCTCCTGAGCCGCCGGGCGCAGGGCAGGACCCCAGCGAGATGTTCCTCTGGGGCAGCCGCGGCATCTCGTCGCTGCCGACGGGGACGGGCGGGACGGGGGGCGGCCCCGGCCTGCTGGGGGGCGGCGGGGGGGCCGGGGCCCCGAGGCTGGGCCGGGGTGCGGAGGGCACGGGCGGCTTGCTGTTCTGCGGCGGCGGCACGGGCAGGGCCGCGTCCCGGGCGGCGGGCGGCCTGTGCCCTGCTGGGGGCGGCGGCGGCGGCGGCGGCTTGTCCTCCGACGGCCGGCCAGGGGTGGACGGCAGCGGCGGTCGGCCGGAGAAGGGGGGAGCCGCGCTGGTGCCAGGCTGCCGGAGCGACCCGGCCGGCCCCGAGCTCCGGCTGCCCGGGAACGGTGGGGGCGAGGGTCCCAGGCTGGACTGACGGCTCAAGCCCGGCACCGGCGGCGACCCCCGGTTGTGCAGGTTGGAGGCGATGGGCCGCGGCGTGCTGGGCACCGGGGGCGGCGCGGCATCAGGCTTGGAGCCGACGTCGGGCCTCGGCGGCGGCAAGCGACTCCTCTGCGGCTCGGGAGCGGAGGTCCGCGGCCCCGAGGGCGGCCCAGGGAAGCGCGGCGGGCAGCTCGGCGGAGTGAAGGGCTTGGCGGCTGTGGGGCGGCCTCCGGGCGGCAGGGCGGGCGGGCGCGCTCCCCCGGCGTCTGTGGACACAAGACGGGGCATCAGCACACGTCGGACAGGGTCTTCGTCCAAGGATTACCTAACGGGCTGTGTCCTAACGCTCTGCAAACAGTGAGGGGTCAGCTCCGGCATGTGCGTGCCCGCACGCCTTCGCGGCACGCAGGAGCAGTTGATGGCACCGGGGAACCAAGGCTCCAGAGGAGCAGGTTACATCCTGGTAAGGCTTCGTGAGAGACCGAAGCGGCCTCAAGGTAGCACAACTGACACAGCTATCATGCAGCAAGCAGTAACACAGGGAGGGAGGAAACGGTGAAGAACAAGTATTTGATATCATCAACCTGAAAGCAAAGAAATCTTAGCTTTCAAATAGTATTTGCAGTATTGCTGCACTGCAGCAAAAGGCTCTTTTCGGCCCTTTCTAGTAGCTTTTATCCAAGGATGTACTTGTGCACACCAGAAAAAAAAGCAACCAGCTTTGCAGTTGAAGAAGTACTGTTCTGGGATGCCAGGAACTTTTGTATCAGTACAAGTTTCCAAAATAGGCTGTGACACAATAGAAAATACCAGCTCTGAGAGCCTGTTTTGTACACATGCTGAAAAATTGCATTAGTCTAAAATATGTAAGGTTTGTAACACACTACAATCCCCATTGCCCAGTCCTCCTTCCACAAGTGTGAAATCCTACACCCTTAACCTTCCAAAACTCACTGGCCCCATATCTCCTTTGTTCCAAGGGGCACGAGGCTTTGCGTAGATGTTTTGCCAGCCAGAAGAATACAGTGCGTGCCCTGGACAAGCCTCCAAGTACAGCGTACCAGCCAGCTGGGGTGCCTCATGCACTCTCTTCATGGTAAATCATGGTGTTGTGGAGCTAACGCAGATGTACTTTCCATTTGGAAAGTAGATCCTTTTTCCTGGTGCACAAGGGAGAATTAACCTGGAATCCTTTTATGCTCTCCCCACCTCTGGTCCTGCACATTCACAGCTAGGGCAGGACCTAGTCTGCCTGACTGGACTTTGCAGGTAAATTCAACATTGCAGAGATCTTTAGTTTTCATCAATAACTAGGAGGATGGGTGGGAAGAGGAGTCTCACTTCTCCCTTATAAAACCTAGTATTAAGAATAAAACAAGATTCAGGCTGAAAAATGTGATTTCCTAAGAGCCTAAGATATTTGAAGGCTTTTTCAACCCAGCAGGTAATTTACTGCAGTGCTATGAAGGTTTTAAACAATGTCACATCTACTTTTCACATTGGAACTGCAAGGTCTTTCTTACCAGCATCTCGACTCGCAGCAGATCTGAGCTTTGGCATTCCTGCTTGGAAAAGGCCTCCAAGGCCAGGCGGTCCACCAGCACCAAAGGTGCCACCACCGCCACCACCAAAGCCCCCACCGCTGCCACCACCACCTCCTCCAAAGCCACCGCCACCACCTCCACTTGGTCCTTTGGGTTCTGTTGGGAAAAAGATCCCTACGTTAGGCAGAGAAACGAGACCAATCCTGCAGAGTCATCTATTTCATTAGAGCAATGCCTGTAGCTGGGACAAGCTTTCAAAACGCAGAAAGTCCTTGTTTAGGTTGGATCGTCATAGCTACCATCTATTACACCATGGAAGAGGTGGTGCAATAAACATAGCCACTGTGTTTTATTAAGTTACCACTTTCCTTTAGTCTGCTCTGAACTGGAAAGCAGAGAAACAGTTGCTGTGGAGAATTAGGAATGGACATTGATGGGACCTCTGAGAATATCATGCTGTCTTTGTTAGCATCTTTGTAGCTGCGTGCCATTTCTTTATACCTTTGCTCTCTTCTCCTTCCCTTCTACTTCTCAATAAGCAAACCGAGACACGGGGCAATCTCACAGGAAATGTGGAAGGAAGGAGGAAGATAGAAGTGTTCTTCCTCTTGGAGGTGTCTTCTGGGAACGTGCAGAACCCTGTCACTATTGATGATGTTTCAACATACCTACTTAAAGCCTAGTGGCATTTCTGATTACTTTACTGTAGGTCCAGAAATGCAGTGACAGAATCATTAGTTACTTATTTTTCCAATAGGCAGAAATTACTTGATCTGGCCTCCCTTCCTCTCCCATTTTTGTCTAAAGCCAATATTTCTGCTGTGAGAAATGTAAAGTGGAAGAGTTTCTACTACTACAAATGCAGGGAAGAGCCCTATTCAGAGCACCACTGCAAAATGAGCAGGCCCACAGGTTGGGATATCAGTGGAAATCAGCTCTCAAATGACAGGCTACATGGCTGAGGATCAATTGCTTAATTTCCTGGCATTTCTATTTCCACAACTTTGGGTGGGTAAAAATTTCATTGACTTTAATGTAATTAAAACATGTGGATGAAGAGCACTTCTAATAATCCCACCCAGAAAAAAGGAAGAAGAATGTGTTCATGGTAGAATGTTTCATACCATTCTTCTCTTTCCTTAAGCATGTTAGCTCAGTTCAGCTCTGACTCACATGGGGTGTGAACCTCTGGAGAAAGGTTGTTACTATGGTTTAGTCTTTCATCAGGATTTGTTAATTCACGTAAACAATAGGCTGCATCATTTTTATCTTACTGTTTACCCCTCCTTTAATCCCCTTGATGCTTTTCTCCACCTTATTACAATAGCTAGAACATGTACTTTGCTTTCAGAGATAATAATCAAATGTTTAAAAACTAAGTACCTGGCTGACTGCAGGACTGAACCTACGTTTTTTAATTATTCCTACTTGGTCACACTCCTTTGGGCATTTCCTGCTTTCTTCATCATCTTCCCATCACAATCCAGCCTCTAATTGCATGGCCAGACGTGGACTGAGCTGTATCACGTTTGCTCATCGATCTGTAGAAGCGTCTTTTCTCCCTAGGCAATAAACTCTGTTCCTCTGACGTAGCAGGCCCTCCATAAGTGAAGCTGTTGCCTTGTGCCACAGCACCACGGGGCAGGCTGAGCAACAAGGCTCAGCCAAAAAGATCCCTGCATCCCTGAGTCACCCTAGGAGCAGCACAACGACGGCAGTGCAGCCCAGGGACACACAGGTGGGGCTCTGGCTCCTGGCTCTGGTTTTGCTTTGAATGGTGCTGGGGCCATAAACAAGCCACCAGTGTCATGCCAGTGTGCCTTCATTTTCATACTGTTTATGCAACAGTAGAGTCTGAAATTACACTGTATTCTCTGTGCTCTCCTCAGTCCCGACAGCGGTTTTGTCTTCCTGGTCTGCTGCAGCTCCTCAGCAGAGCTCCTGGTAGGGTTTGCATAGTTTTGTGATTTAAGCAAGAAAAAGAACTGCTTTTATGAGAGTAAGCAAACAAATTAACAATCACAATTCATAAGCAGTATTTGATTTCTCAACTGACTTAATCCATGATGAACATAGTTTATATTTATGCATGCCAACTTCTGGCATTTTATACTTCTCTTAGGGCATTTTATCTGATAATATATAAAACAATTTTGTGCATTCAGATATGTAGACCCATTCGTGCATAGAGAAACTCCAACACGCAGAATCATACTTACTATCTAGAATTGGAGCACTCCTGTCATTAGTAACAGTCTTCTTTAGCTTCTTTCCTTTGGTAATATCAGACAACAGAGCATTTCGCCCTGCTTGTTCTGACCTGCTTAGGGATGGCTTTTCAGTATTTGCCTGCAAAATAAAAGTGAGGAAGCAAAATATACGTCGACTTCCAGCTAAAAGTTCTGCTCAAATACAGTTGTTCTTGAGACTTCAATTTCTGTTTTAACAGCACCGGCATGGGTAGCGTACCACATATGATTTTGTGAATGATGTATAGGTAGCTAGCCTTGATACTGACCCAAGGCCCACACACACACTGGTGCTATTCTAACCCACACTATTCACCAGAAACAGAACACTTATGGGAATTCACATTTTTTAAAGTCAAGATCAGTGACCATGAAATGCTGGAGTTTGAAATCCTTAGGGCAGTGAGGAGGGAGTGCAACAAACTCGCTAGCCGGGAGTTCCGGAGAGTGGACTTTGGCCTCTTCGGGAATCTGCTTGGTAGAGCACTAAGAGGTTGAGTAGGCTGAGGGAGCTGTCCTGGCTAAGAACCAGTATGACAGAAAGAGAAGGATGGAGAGTCAGTGAGGTTAGCGACATACATATGGGCACTGGAAGTGAGTGGAAGTGATGATCCCTTTTGTAGGATCAAACACGAACCGTAAACAAAATGTTGGAGAGCTTTCCCCAGATACCATTCGCACCCTCAGCTGCACCTCAGTGCCTCTGGACACCCCATTGGATATGACAAGAGGCAACAGAGGACAGTGTATGTGGTACATTTACCTCCTGTAAAACTTACCAAGGCCAGTGTTGGGGGTGGAGGGGGAGCTGGAGGGGGTGGCACAGGCATGGTGGAAGGCTGGGTTCTGTCTGGTCCTCCTAAGAAACCTGCACAGCAAAACACAGAAACACACAAGGCTCAGATATTAATAAATCTAAATAAGAAGCACTTAACGTTTCATTGTATGGAGAGCAGCTATGCCCGTAAATGGGGGCCCCCTATATGATCTCCACTGCCACACAAACTCACAGACATACACATCCAGTTTTGCACACATACACAACCCACGTATTGCTATGGCAATGCACAGAAATGCAGTAATAAAACTGACCTCTGCTTACCCCAACAATCTTGTTCCTGTGGAAGTACTTCAGGATAACCCCATAGGTATAGCATCAAGAAGACATTATCCCTTTAAGATCACACTCAAAAAGAGGTGCTTTTAAAGCCCTTAAATGCCTGGAAGATCCACCCCCCCATGCACGCACTGTTTCCTAGAGCACAGCTCTAGGAAAGACTCATGCTTCTTCCTTCTTTCTCTGAAGACTTCATGCTCCATCCTCACCTTCTTCCTCCTCAGGAGCGGCACACACAGGAATGCTGTGTGCACTTCCCCAGGGGAGGAAAGCAGGCAGCCTGGCCTCTCAGCTGCAGGCTGCTGCAGAGGGAAAAGCCTGGCTGCCAAACCTCAGCTTTCCCTGACCTCCCTGGCTGGAGACCACGCTCCCTCTTTCGCCACCCCAAGCAGAACTTCCAACCCAGGGCAATTCTAGGGGGGACACACCAGAGATGTAGAACTTTCTTTGCAACAAAAACATTAAAAGTTAAAAAAAAAAAAAGCAGGAAGGACAAGCATCGAGGAATTATTTTTCAAGTCACAAGGGCTTTTTGTAGCATTTTGGCACACTGCTCACTGGAACTTTGCCTATCAGATGCTCCAGGGCTTTTCTAATGGTGATGTGGCATTTCAGCATGTCCTTCGCTCTTGCCCATTCACCTGAGCCAGCTTCAGTAACACTGATTTACCACCATTTATATGATATTTGCACAAGACAGGTAAACACAGTGGGAACAGGAATAAGGGTTATTCTCAAGACAACCCCAGGCTGACAGCTGAGCTCCTCATGGTGGTTATTCACAAAAACACAGAGCTCTCACTTCCTGAAGTCACTCAGTTGTTTTTGATAAACCCAAGGAGAACTGTAGTAGCACAGTATCTGCCAAAACAACTTCATGGTAGGTACAGTACCCTCTACAGTTTAAATGAGCATTAGGAAAATGTCTAGAATGGAACAAAATGGCATTTGCAGTGAGGGTTCAGGGTGAGTCACCACCTACAAAGTCTGTAATGGCTCTGAGATGATCCATGATAACAGGAAAAAAAATGGTTAGAAGTACAGATTTATCTTGTCAGATGCTCATGCTTCGAAAGAATTAGAATACAGCTGTAACCCCCACTCCTCCCCTCAAAAATAGTTGCTGAGCTGCCTTCCTGAGAAGAAACCTTTCCTAAAATAAGGCTTTAATGGACTTTGTCTAAAATCTATAGGGGAGAAAGTGTGTGGAAAGGAGCCAGACACATACCCCCAAGCTCCAGCTGCCTATCTATTAAAACCCATGGAGTTCAAAGTGGAGTGTGGTACCACCATTGTCTCCAGTGCCTGTGGGTTCTCGTCTCCCTTACTGCAGAAGCTGTCTCTCTTTCCAGTGACTGTGAAAGAGCGAGGGGAAGTTGCTGGTCAGACAGACTGACTGACTGACAGACAGAGAGGAAACTGCGAAGCCAAGCCTACGCCGCACGGTGCAAACACATGCGCTTGCAAAGCCCTGCAAACGGACCGGCGTGCGCTCATCAGTCCTCTGGTGCGTTGCTGTGCATCTCCAGGGAAGCACCATCTTCACATTCAGAGCAGCTGCTTGAATTCAGTTATATTCCCGTCTTCCACGTTGCTAGCTGTAGGTTGTTGCATAAAACTCTGCACAAAGCCCTATCCCTTTCCCGATCTGCTTATCCTAAACACAATATTTGCAATCTGAATCCTATTAAAAGCACCAAGACTAATGCTGCTTTGTTCTGCAGCTTCCTGCTTGAAAAAACAGTCAACAGGAAAATTATTTCTTACAGCAGACCACAACCATCCTGTTTCTTAACACAGTCTTTTCACAGCTGCAGTTGTCTTTAGTGTAACTGTGCCATTAGGCTATTTCACCAAGGTTTTAACTCCTTCGACTGATTAAAAAGAGAAGAGAAATTCTCCTCTCTGCACTGCTTTGAGAGAAGAGGCCAAACAAGTCAGGATAATGTGCTGCGAGTCTCCTTGGCACTCTGTGACACAGGAAAGTCTCTGGCGTAGGCAGAATAAAGTCTGGTTTAATATGAGGCTTGTAAATTAATTCCTTAAGGCAGCTCAGAACTAACTGCAGCAAGTGAGCCAGTGTTCGTGCAAATGCCCTAACTTGTCTACCTCCCTGTCAGTTAAGTGATTGCTTTCTGCATGCTTGTGCTGTTCTGTTCTACTTTTCTTTGCCCTTTTAACTGGGTTGTTTTAGATCAGCTTCTTAAGGAACTGGCAGGGACAGAGGGGAAGCAAGGAAACACTCAAAGCCTGAGTTTTCCAAAGAGAAGACACTACTCACAGACAGCCTCTCCAAATCCCTCTCTGCACACATTAATCACAAGAAGGTATGGCAAAGGAAGGCACTGAGTGCCCCCCTTTCCCTGTGCCATCTTACAGTGGGATGATACCCTCTGATGTACCTGTAGTCACCAACTCCACACTAGCTAGTACCTCTTCTGGTACTAAAGGGCTTTCTCAACAGGACAGGAGAAGACACAGCTACCCACTATCAGTATATCATTAAGCTACTGCTGAACAAACCCTATAGCACCCAGGGCAGTTACCAGCAGGGTCTGGAAAATGACATTTTGGAAGCACAGGACAAGCTTCTGTATTAGGCCATACTCAGGTAGGAATGGCTTGAAGTTTAGTGCAAGCATCCCACAGAGTTGTTTATTCATGAGGTTCTAGAGCACACAGCTCCTTTAGGAGCCATCAGAAAAGAGATCATACGGCATGACTTGAACCTGTGTGCCCCCACACAAAAGTACATTTTACAGAGCCAGTAAAATACCCCAGTTTGTTAAATTTTAGCTTAAAAGAAGTTACAACACTGCTTCCCTAGTACTTTTGTCACTCTCTTGACTCCACTCCTGCTGCTGAGAAAGAATTTCAGAAGCTCAAGCTGAAACTCTTCAGCAAGAAACAGCACCTCTGAAGCTCTAATTCTCCCTTGCTGTTCGGCTGCTAGATTTTGTACAGTCTATTTCTTTGCCTGACTTTCTGTAAGCAGAAGGGTGTCACTGGATTTTACCATTTGATCACTCTAAGCCTGTAGGAAAAATAATCACGTACTGAAGAGATGCAGCAAGGGGGGGCTTGCCCACACAGCACAGTGCAGTGCTGGGGCTAACCCGGGGATGAGCAGCACCTCTCAGGCTGCAGAAGCAAAGCAGCTGAGTCAGCACAATAGTGAACTTGAGTTCTGCAGCTGCTCTGTTCATCATTAATTCTCAGGATAGCTGTGTTGCACAGAGCATAAAGATGTCCTAAGATGTAACTTTACAATTAGAGGAAGGCTTTGGTTACTGTCCTACACATCAACAATAGACTCATTATTTGCTCCTGGTCAGTGGGAAAGACCTGGGTTTAAGAAATGGACATTATGTTCATTTCCTAACAGCTGACACTATAAAGTGCCTGAAACAGTAACCGATCCACTCAGTAATAAATTTTACCTACCAGATTTCTTAACAACCAAGTGGTTTATGACACTCAGTGCTGCAGGGTGTTGAAAAGGAGCCAATTCCAAAAGAGTAAGGCTGACGGGTCCTATCAGTCCTTTGCAACCCAGGCCATTTGGGTTTCTAAGTTCTTGCATATTTTCTAGGCAATAAATTATCACAGCCTTTAGGAATCTAATATGGAAACGTTATATCGAGACGAGCATTGGTGGTGCCGCAGAAAGGATTACGGTAACTAATCCGCACGCATACACCGTAGCGCCGGCCCCTGAGCCACAAGCACAAAGGTCGGTATTGTCAGCAAGAGGGGAGGACTTCCACAGCTGGCAGCAGGGCGGCAGCTGCGCTCCCGCTGCGCGGCAGGCGCCGTGCTCACCGCGCTTTCCTCTGGGGGCCCAGCCCCGGTGGGCGCTGACATCGCCAGGAGCAGGCATCCCACCGCAGCCCTCGCACTCGCCCTGCGCCGTGCCGATGCCAGGGCAGCCTCCCTGCAGGCTTATCGAGAGGGGAGCGCACACCGCCAGCCGCAGCCGCTGGCAAAGGAGATGCCGCAGAGCTGCCCACCCCCCTACCCCCAGGTAAACCGTACCATCAGAGCTGTGTAAGCAATACCTGCTTTTTGCAAGCTACTATCAGAAACGGTATTAAAGTATTACAATATGCAACACCATGATAAAAACTAACTTAAATTTAAAAGCAAAACAGAGGAAAGCATCCTGCAAAGAGCCCCCTTTTCCATGGAGTAATCCCTGAAGAGTAACAGGCAGAAGTGGCTTTAAACTGAACTCAGTGAAACACAAACTTTGGATATTTTGGATTTACTTTGGTACTTCAGAAATAATTTCAGGAGCATTACAAATGCTAAAAGGAAATGTGACATTTAATGTGGTATGGCCATTGCAAACAACTGGACTGCAAGTACACTGTTTGCATCTAGTCAGCCATTTTGGGCTGTTTCGAGGTGCCCCCTCTTCAACATACTGAGTCAGAGGCAAACAGACAGCTCTCTGTGGTTAATCATTTCCTGCATGATTAATTTCCAAGCAGAAAAAAAAAAGAGGAAGGAACAAACAGCTATAGAAATAACATAGAACTGATACAACTTAAGGGGGGGAAACCCTGAAGTTGCCAATTAAAATGCTGTCTATGGAAAAGGGCCTAAATTCCAAAGCAGGACTGACCTAGCTCTTCCAAAATGCCTTACTCCCTGCTAAGGAAAGAAGGTAAAACTTCTAAAAATCTGAATTTGAGACACTGGGCCAGGTCCCCAAGTGCTTCACCAAGGACAACTGACTGCAAACAGTA